ATATATATAAAAATATACTGAAACATGATGGTGCAAATATCATGGGAACAAGCTGATGAATTGTGTTTCCATAGTGACCCATACAAAATGGAAGAGCTGCAGGAAAGAATTAGAAGTGTGCACAGAAATAGAGCAGGAACACATTTTTATAATGTAAAATGATAAATTCCTTGTATACCTTTGCTTAACAAAGTCTCACAAACAACGAATTTTACTTCTTATGAATTCAAGTGTTGCTTATTGTACTTACATCTGGTATGTAACCCTATTAGGTTCTGACTCATATCCTGAGTAAATGATTCTCTAGTGATACCAAATAGAGACAGGAAGTGTGAGATAATTTAAGAGGACAAGCACTGAGCTCATGGTAAGAACAAAGGTAGCAGGTTTTGTTGAGAAACAGATCAATCAGTATGCTTATGCAGGAGGACTGCACCGCTATAGAAATACTCCGGCGAACCCATCCTCTTTGATGATGACGGCAGATAATGGAAAGTAATGTGCTGATGACCTCTGCCGAGAGGAAATAGAGAAGGGAGGAAATGGGAACTGAGTGAACATTGCAGATGCACATGGGTTTGACATGTGGGACATGGAAACACACAAATGTAGAAATGTAAGAAGAAAAACACATTATTGGTGCCTATACATTCCAGTGCTCTCTATCTTTAGAGTGGTCAAGACCAGTATAGTGAATTAATACAACAGAAAAAGCCAACAGCAACAACAAAACTGATATGAATTCAGATGACTGTTATTAAACAGTCTCCTTCCATTACTACTATCTTGATCTCTTACCCAGGGCTTATTAAAACTGGATTATTTCTGCTTCACTGAAACAAAAAACACTCCTGGCAATCATAATAGGAAATATGTGAATTTTTTGACATAAATTAACTGGTGCAGTGTGAAAGGCAGCTGAATTACACCTGGCTCCCTACCTAGCCTAGAGTTACATTCTTCTTTACAGAATGATGAATGATAAAAATGCTACAGAAGTGCATGAACCAGAGATTTATCATTATTCACGGCAGACATAGCAAGTCCCCTCTGTCTTTAGGCAACAATATACAGAAAAGCCTTTTTTGGTCAATATTGTAACAAAACTGTTGTCTAGCCAAGGTTGTGCGGAAGAAATCTACTGATCTGGTACCATCTGTCACATTTTATCTCCCTGGTAAAAACAATGCTCAGATCCCAGCATTTGCTATACCTCCACGATACAATGAAACACATCCCAAAGGTGCTCTATTGGACTGAGATCTGCTGACAGTGGAAGTTATTAGAGTACAGTAAACTCACTGTCATGCTAAAATCATTTCCTTTTTTTCTGTTTTTTAGCTTTGTGAAGTGGCATGGTTATTCTGCTTGAAGCAGCCATCAGGAGATGGGTACACTGCTGCATGTTGTCAGCAACAATGCTCATTTAGGCTTTGGTGTTTAAACAATAATTAGTTGGTGTGAAGGGGTCTAAAATGAGCAAAAAAGTATCCGCCACACCACTATACCACCACCAGCAGGAACTGCTAACACAAGCCAGTATGAAGTCATGCTTTCATACTGTTTACACTAAATTCTGATCCTAAAATTAGCTCAAATCAAGACTCATCAGACCCGGCAACAAATTTTCAGTCTTCAGTCGTTAAATACTCGTGTGCGTTGCTGACAGGAGTGGCACCCAGTGTGGTCTTCTGCTGTGGTAGTCCATCTGCTTCAGGGTTTAATGTCTTACATATTCAGAAATGCTTTTTTGCACACCTTGTTTGCAACGAGCGGTTATTTGAGTTACTGTCATCATCCTCTCAGCTTGAAGGAATTTTCATTCAGAGAGCTGCTTTTCACTCAATATTTTCTCTTTTTCAGACCATTCTCTGTAAACCCTAGAGATGGTGGCGTTGGAAAAAAATCCCAGCAGTTTCCGAAATACTAAACC